GCAGTATAGGCTTTTATTCCATAAGCACTGAGTGTTTGTGTGGGTGTGATCTCTTACATTATTTCTCAGAGTGATTTTTGTTCAGTATTACACAAGTTCTTGTCTGAGTTCAGTGTGTAAGGTAAAAAGGTATCAGCAGAACGGACAGAGAACTACAAAACAGCAGAACAAATAATATGTGATGAGTCACAAAGCTGCTCTCACCCCCTGGCCGTTCTAATAGGGTATATGAGAGACTGAGGTCACCCAGCGAGGTCTGAAGGTACCTGTATTCCCTTGACACACAGGCTGCGAGGGTAATACATCACCCATTCATGCCATTCACGGCTTAATGTCCATCTTCGGCAGATATTGTGTGTTTTGAAAAAGTCTGAGGTCCCTGAAGTAAAAATCTAACTGAATTGTGTGCCGTCCCTTGTTAGAAATCTAATGTGGCTTAATTCTCCAGCCAGGTAACACAATAATGCCCCCTTTCTTCTGGGCATAGTTGATCCACAATATTGGCTACTGGTCCTTAATTCCTCTCTATGCAAGGTAACTCTCCAGCTTCAAGTCATTCAGACTCCTTTCTCTCCATTTTGAAAGGACGGCCTGTGTTGTGAAACGAAAAGGATTCAATAGATGTGAATGATTTATTCAAGGGAAAGCATCAAGACTTTGGTATGAGAAGCAAAGCGCTATTCTTTCTTGAAGGACACACGTTCGTTTGCAGCAGCACAATGGGAGCATATTCTATGCCAGTTTCAATCTGTTGCCATTTTTTCCCCTTCATCTTTTTTCACACACAAATGAATTGATAAGAGGCAGTTTTAGCAGAGAAAAGTTTTGACCAAGAAATTTTATGCAACAAGTCAAATTAGATTGGCCAAAATTTCATTACCATCACACAATAGAGTTATTTTCTGTTCCCAGGGTTATTCAAAGTATACCTGAGCAAGCTGGCAATTGTAAAGTGTGTTTTCATGCTTGGAGTGTCAGAGGAAGCTGTTGGCTCTGCTGTAGGTTAAGGCTGCGATGGACACTTTTCCATTTTTGCTCTTGTGCTTTTTTCATAATTAAGGTGAAATATATTTTTTTATGTCTGTTCATTTATGACCGTTCAACTCAAGCATATCAAGGGATATTCATTACTTTTTGTAAATGTATTTGCATAGCATTTGTTGACGTTTCATCTCACCTCATCTTTAATCTTCTTCACTCTCTTGAAAAGCCCATCTTGCTGGACGATTTCTTTCGCTTTGACCTTCTGGTGTAAATTGTTTGGCTTGGTTTGTTCAGTTTGAGATGCCCTGGGAGTAACACTGCAATCAGTATTTTCTACACATTTAGGCACCTGATAACTGAACAACAGATTCAGTCTTCCTCATGATCGTTTGACAACGTGATGGCTTGTGCATGTTAACAGCAAGAAAAAAAAATCTGTTCGATAACGGTTCAAATAATAAAATTATACAAGCTATTGAAATGACCTACTTCCAACCTCAAAGTGTTCCAGTCCAAACACAACTTCTCAGCTCTACCTAAAAATGTCCAAATGAAACATCACTTTAGTCTCCACCTTCATGGAAATTACACTTTTCATTAGGGTTGACTGACCTGCACAAGTTGGATGTCGAATGTACTACAAGGGTACATATTACTATTCCAAGGTACTAATATGCACCTTTTATGGGTAAGGGATAAGGTACAATGATGTCCCTTTAACGGCACTGCCCCAGTGTCAAGCTGTTGTAGTTGCTGTAAAGTGAAGACATCTAAAATGTGCAGTGCTGAGGGTACTCCAGGACCATGCTTGGGAATTAAATTAAATTAAATTCAAGTTTATTTGTATAGCGCTTTTCACGATACAAATCGTTGCAAAGCAACTTTACAGAAAATTAAGTTTCTATAATATTTAGTAGTAGCTTATCAGTGGTGACTGTCAGTTAATGTGCATATGGCAGAAATGTACGGAAAAATCAATTAAAGACATAATCAAACAGACGATGAATACTATTAACAGCAATTATTATATGATGCAATCAAACTTATAGCAAAATGTGGTAGTTCTGTATGTTGATTCAGGGTTGGCATCATCTCTTCTCAGGTGTTCTGGATCCAGACTGAAGCTTGTGTAAATCCTAGTTACCACGGGATGTCAAAAACAGAGAAACAAATAGAGACATAATTAGCGTAGCTGCTGTTCCAACCAAGCAAAATTGATTTGTTTAACCCAAGCTAAAGAATAATAATGTGCATTTGATCAGATATAACTGCAGTACAAGATTATGAGATGCATTATTTGAATGCTTGGCCAAAGAGATGTGTCTTTAATCTAGATTTAAACAG